GCTTGGTTTATTTACGCGCGAGTTTGAGCTAAAGTGTAGACTAGCAGACTTAGTAATGAAACTTATGCCAAAAGAGCAGACGGTAATGTGAAGAGCATGGGGAAGCGATGCTGTAGGCGGAGTCAAAGCGGCTTTTAATTCTACAGTGGGAATTCCCCACTGGGAGTGGCAAAACTTTCATGAGAGATCCAGATTCCAGTGCAAGTACACATGACAACCCCATGGAATCTCCTGAAAGACCGTAGACTCTTGATTTTGGGATCCCAGTCACTTCCTTTAAGCACCTGTGACTTGACCTGACTGGTTCTAAAGCCTTCACAAACCCTGAATTGCGACAGTACTTTAAATGGACTGGATTTCCCCAGATTGCACAGAATCACGTTGTTTATATATATATATATATATATATATATATATATATATATATATATATATATATATATATATATATATATATATATATATATATATATATATTTGTGTTGGGCAGAAATCCAAAAAAAAAGTTTGTTTTGACATAATTTAAGAAGATGTACTATATATTTATGCATATATTTAATAACTATTTGCATATATTTGAGAAAATGTTTATGTATATTTATATAAAATACAAACACACTGGCCCCTTTATTAGGGACATCTGTCCAACCGCTCGTTAACACAATTTTCTAAACTCAATGCATTTAGGCATGTAGACATGGTCAAGACGATCTGCTGCAGGTCAAACCGAGCATCAGAATGGGGAAGAAAGGGGATTTAAGTTTTCACGCACAACCATCTCTAGGGTTTACAGAGAATGGTCCGACAAAGAGGAAATATCCAGTGAGCGGCAGTTCTGTGGGCGCAAATGCCTTGTTGATGCCAGAGGTCAGAGGAGAATGGCCAGACTGGTTCCAGCTGATAGAAAGGCGACAGTAACTCAAATAAGCTACAATCGAGGTCTGCAGAAGAGCATCTCTGAATACACAACACGTCCAACCTTGAGGCGGATGGGCTACAGCAGCAGAAGACCACACCGGGTGTCACTCCTGTCAGCCAAGAACAGGAAACTGAGGCTACTTTTCACACATACTCACCAAAACTGGACAATAGAAGATTGGAGAAACGTTGCCTGCTCTGATGAGTCTCCATTTCTGCTGACACATTCTGATAGTCGGGTCAGAATTTGGCTTCAACAACATGAAAGCATGGATACATCCTGCCTAGTATCAACAATTTAGGCTGGTGGTGGTGGTGTAATGGTGTGGGGCATATTTTCTTGGCACACCTGAGTATTGCTGCTGACCATGTCCATCCCTTTATGACTACAGTGTACTCATCTTCTGATGGCTACTTCCAGCAGGATAACACACCATGTCATAAAGCGTGAATCATCTCAGACTGGTTTCTTAAACATGACAATAAGTTCACTGTACTCAAATGGCCTCCACAGTGCCCAGATTTCAATCCAATAGAGCACCTTTGGAATGTGGCGAAACGGGGGTTTGGCATCATGAATGTGCAGCCGACAAATCTGCAGCAACTGCGTGATGCTATCATGTCAATATGGAGCAAAATCTCTGAGGAATATTTCCAGTAGCTTGTTGAATCTCTGACACGAAGGATTAAAGCAGCTCTGAAGGCAAAAGGGGGTCCAACCCGGAACTAGTACGTTGTACCTAATAAAGTGGCCGGCACACACAAATGTCAAAACAAACATTTATTTTAGATGCAATTATTTTTTTATTCTGGTGTATGGTGTGATTCTGTGTCTGTTCTGTGATTGTTTGTTTGCTTGTATGACGTTCAGAGGGACATGCCCACATGAAGAAATACCATAGTAATTAATAGTGTTTTTGAACCATACTATAGGAAAGTACCTGAATTAATAGGCTATTTTTCAGTAGTTTTAATTGGTATGGCGATGCAACAATTACATTAGCATAAATAACTTACCAAAAATGTTGTTTTCTACAGATTTAGGGCATAATATATCACCACAGTTTCATTCATTCATTTTCCTTCAGCTTAGTCACTTTATTCATCAGGGGTCGACACAGCGGAATGAACCACCGACTATTCCGGCATATGTTTTACACAGCGAATGCCTTTCTAGCTGCAACCCAGTACTGGGAAACACCCATAAACTCTCACGTTCAAACACACACTCTGGCCAGTGTAGTTAATCAACTCCCCTATAGCGCATGTGTTTGGACTGTGGGGGAAACCGGAGGAAACCCACGCCAACACGGGAAGAACATGCAAACTCCACACAGAAATGCCAACCGACCCAGCCGGGACTCGAACCAGCAACAAATATTCCTCACAGATACGTATTAAAGTGCAGATTTAGCTTTTTTTTTTTAAAGTACACGATTAAATGTTGATTAAACAAAAGGAACAGTGCCACAAATGTCCTGCAGGTGGTGCTACAGTCTGTGTTTACATCCGTAATCTGAGGAGATATCACACATTCTCTTAAAGCAGTGGTCTCAAACTAGACTCCAGGTGGGCTGCAGCTCTGCATAGTTGTGCTTCAACCCTAATCAAACACAGCTGATTCAACTAATCAAAGCATTCAAGACTACTGCAGAATATTAAGCGGGTCGAGTTGGAGCTAAACTGTGTAGAGCTGCGGCCCTCCAGGAGTTGAGTTTGAGACCATTGCCTTAAAGGGACAGTTCACCCCAAGATGAAAACGTACATATTTACTCTCCCTCAGGTGGTTATAATATGAGTTCCTTTCTTCTGTTGAACACTGAATAAGATGATTTGAAGAATGCTGAAAACCTGTAACTATTGACTTCCATAGTAGGAAAAACAAATACTATGAAAGTCAATGGTCAGATGTTTCCAATATCTATGGGTGAATTGCGTAAGGTGAATTGGGTAGGCTAAATTGTCCGTAGCGAATGTGTGAATGATTGGGATGTTTCCCGGAGATGGGTTGCAGCTGGAAGGGCATCTGCTGCGTAAAACAAATGCTGATTAAGTTGGCGGTTCATTCCATTGTGGCGACCCTAGATTAATAAAGAGACTAAGCCGAAATTAAAATGAATGTTTTTAGTATTCATTTATAACAATTTAGAATTCAGTGTGTCAGTGTGTGTGATACCGCGGTAAAGTTAGTTTGACATTCATTAGACATTCTTTGCTCCTGTTTATAGTTTAAGCCAAAAATAAGTCAGATAGCCATAAAAATGTGCCCTTTATGTTGCACAAGGCTTAATTTCTCGATTTAAAAAGAATTAACCATACGAATAAATTAAACAGTTCAACCATGTAATTGTACGATAATACCAGGACCACAATGTTCAGAAAAACGTCCTGATTATTGCACAAGCCTCTGTTCTTGGAATTATATCACTTTATTTATTTTATAATTATTTTAAAATAGCTTTTAATGTAAAAATGGTAAAAGTCAATGAGATGTTGACACCATATGTGATAAAAGATTTAAATCAACTGTAAAAATCTATAAATATTATCCTCTACGATGCACAAGCTTTGTTTTTTACTGTTTTGCCTTTGTTGATTTTATATACATTAATAAATCCATATTTTTTAATATATCAAATACACTGCAAACACTTAAATAAATTAAACTCTGACACCGTTTGAGATAAAATATTAAAATCAACTCTAAAAAAAATCTAAATATTATTCTCTATCATGCACAAGCTTTGGTTTTTACAGTTTTGCCTTTGTTGATTTTATATACATTATTAAATCTATATTTTCAGTATACCAGATACACAATAAACAGTTAAACAAATTAAACTCTGACACCATTTCAGATAAAATATTTAAATCAACTCTAAAATTGTCTAAATATTATACTGTATGATGCACAAGCTTTGTTTTTTTTGTTTTTTTACAGTTTTGCCTTTGTTGATTTTATATACATTATTAAATCTGTATTTTCAGTATACCAGATACACAATAAACACTTAAACGAATTAAACTCTGACACCATTTCAGATAAAATATTAAAATCAACTCTAAAATTATTAAAATATTATTCTCTATGATGCACTAGCTTTGTTTTTTACAGTTATGTCTTTGTTGATTTTATATACAGTAATAAATCGATATTTTCAGTATATCGGATACACCATAAACACCTAAATGAATTAAACTCTGACTCTATTTAAGACTAAATATTTAAATCAACTCTGAAAAAATTCTAAATATTATTCTCTATGATGCACTAGTTTTGTGTTTAACAGTTTTGCTTTTGCTGATTTTATTTACAGTAATAAGTTTATATTTTCAGTATATCGGATACAATGTAAACACTTAAACGGATTAAACTCTTAAGATAGAACATTCAAATCAACTCTGAAATTATCTAAATATTATTCTGTATGATGTGCAAGCTCTGTATTTGACTGTTTTGCCTTTGTTGATTTTATATACAGAACTAAATCCATATTTTTATTAAGTCGAATACACTGTAAACACTTACTGTAAATGACTTTAACTCTAACACCATTTGAGATAAAATTATCAAATCAACTCTAAAAAGTGTCTAAATATTATTCTCTATGATGCACAAGCTTTGCTTTTTACAGTTGTGCCTTTGCTGATTTTATATACAGTAATGAATCCATATTTCCAGTCTCTCAGATACACAATAAACACTTAAATGAATTAAACTCTGACACCATTTGAGATTAAATATTCAAATCAACTCTAAAATTGTCTAAATATTATACTGTATGATGCACAACTTTGATTTTTACAGTTATGCTTTAGTTGGTTTTATATACAGTACTTTTCCGCGGTGTGTGTGTGTGTGTGATATCTCTCTCTCTCACACACACACTAGCTTTCATTCACTTTCATTATACATTAAACACAACATAAGAAGACAAATGACGTAATACTGATACATAAAATAACAAAAACAATAATTAACAGTACATTTAACAATCAACATTTGAGGATACAACAATAATTAAACAGAATATTTATTAATCAAAATTTTAAACACAATTTACAATTCAGCGTGTCAGTGTGTGTGATAGCCAGCCTACCTCTCTCTCATTGTCATTCACTCCGCGTTCACGTGCTCTCGTGAACGCGCTTCATTAGCATACGTCTTCTGCATCAGGACGCGGGTCGGATTCTCAGTTTTGTTGACAGAAACACTGGTCCTGAAGGAGAGGATGCTCCTCGTACTCCCTCCTTGTATCTGTTATCGGACTGTGATTTTGAGGATGCTGCCTCGCTGACGGTCTGTTTTCATTCATGGATGACACATGGATGATGCTCCGGGATCATCTTCATCATCTTCTTCTTGTTGTTGATCCAGTAGGTCTTCAGGATCTCCTTCTTGTTGATCCAGTATGTCTCCAGGATCTTCTTCTTGTTGATCCAGCATGTCTCCAGCGGCTCCGGTTACCGAGAGCAGTGCCGCTGAAGTGCACCGCGAGCAGACGGACGCGCCGCGGGAACCGGTGAGTCGATCTGACGACGCTTTGTTGCAAACCACGAATAAGCAGAATGAACGGCGTTGATGCGTGTGCTTAACAGACGATCACACAGAAAGCCTGATGAATGCATTTTAGATTTATGCTTATATTGGAATATTAGAGGATGGATTGAGTGTGTGTGTGTGTGTGTGTGTGGAGTTAACAAGATTAATTCACATTAACAATGGTTTAACTCTAAAACACACCGGAGAAACGCAACGCTGCGTAGTTTTATTTGTTTATTTATTCTCAATTAAATTTAAACTACACTATTTAACCCAATGGTTGGGTTTGTCCATATTATCTGACCCAATTTTGGGTTACAATGAGCATTTTTTAGAGAGAGAGAGAGAGCGAGAGAAAGATATAGATGCTTTATGGTGTGTGTGTGTGTTAAGAATGAGAGGAGAAAAAAGAAATTAATAAATTTTTCTTTGGCTTAGTCCCTTTTTTATTAGGGGTCGCCACAGCGGAACGAACTGCTAACTATTTCCGCATATGTTTTACACAGCAGATGCCCTTCAAGCTGCAACCCATCACTGGGAAACACCCATACACTCTCATTCACACACACACACACTATGGACAATTTAATTTACTAATAGCGCATGTCTTTGGATTGGGGTGCACCCGGAGGAAACCCACGCCAACAAAGAGAGAACATGCAAACTCCAAACAGAAATGCCAACTGACCCTGTCGGCACTCGAACCAGCAACTTTCTTGCTGTAAGGCGACAGTGCTAACCACTAAGCCACTGTGCTACTCAGAAAGATAAAATCTTACTAAAAATGGATAAACATTATTGTCGTAACTCAACTTTGGTTCGAATATGGAGAAACCAGCCTGATCTCATGAGAAAATGTAAGTATTTTACGTTTTGGCAGTTTAGTGGCTAATTCGTACGAGTTCAGTCGTACAACATAGTACGATTTTAAAAAGGAGGCGTGGCACCTAACCCCACCCCTAAACCCAACCGTCATTGGGGGATTAGCAAATCGTACTAAATTGTACGAATTAGATCGTACAAATTCGTATGAATTAGCCACTAAATGAAAAAGATACGAATTGTCGTGAGATTGTGTTGGAGAAACAGTGTTATTTTTTTCCAGTTAAATTTTAATGACACTATTTAACTCAGTTGTTGGGTTTGTCTATGTTATCTGACCCCATTTTTGGGTTACGACAAGCATTTTTTAGAGAGAGAAAGAGTGTGTACTTGTTTTTATATCCCGGTGGGGAATTAAATTTTAATTACACTATTTAACCAATGGTTGGGTTTGTCTTTATTATCTGACCCAACGTTGGGTTACAACAAGCACCTTTTAGAGTGAGAGAGTATTTGTTTTTATATCCCAGTGTGTGTGTGTGTGTGTGTGTGTACAAGAGTGTGAGGAGATAACAAGATTAATTCACTCTAAAAATGGTTAAAAAATGTTTTCGTGACCCAACATTGGTTCGAATATGCAGAAATGCAACGTTGCATACAGGGGCGTAGGTTTGCACTTGAAATTCGTAGGGACGGGTGAATCAAACATGGGGGTATATATATATATATATATACAGTTGAAGTCAGAATTATTAGCCCCCCTGAATTATTAGACCCCTCGTTTATTTTTTTTCTCTACTTTCTGTTTCACTGAGAGCAGATTTTTTTCAGCACATTTCTAAACATAATAGTTTTAATAACTAATTTCTTATAACTGATTTATTTTATCTTTGCCTTGATGACAGTGAATAATATTTGACTAGATATTTTCAAGACACAGCTTAAAGTGACATTTAAAGGCTTAACTAGGGTAATTAGGGTAACTAGACATGTTAAGGTAATTAGACAAGTTATTGTATAACGATGGTTTGTTCTGGACTCTATCGGAAGAAAAATATAGCTTAAAGAGGCTAATAATTTTGTCCTTAAAATCTTGTTTAAAAAAATAATAATTTGCCTTTATTATAGCCAAAATAAAACAAATAAGACTTTCTCCAGAAGAAAAAATATTATCAGACATACTGTGAAAATTTCCTTGCTCTGTTAAACATCATTTAGAAAATATATAAAAAAATGTAAAATTCAAAGGGGGGCTATAATTCTTCAACTGTATATATATGCATATATATTAATAATTAATCCTCTCTTCATACAATTTATTAAGTTTCAGTTTTTATTAAGTTTCGTAGCCAAGAGAGTTCTGGTGGTTCGAAACACCAAACGTTGGATTGTTATTATTTTAGATTTTTCTTATTATTCAAATGACCAAATTCTGACTGAAGAAAGCTTAATGCGCTGGCCAGTTTGTCATTTGCCTATAGGCTTAATTTGTTTTGATTAGCTGGACTAGCTAATCAAGCTCTTACAAGGCTTACTAGAACCATCCTTGCAGGTGTGTTGAGGCAAGTTGAAGCTAAAATCTGCAGGACACCGGCCCTCCAGGACCGAGTTTGGACAACCCTGGCTTAGTCCCTTATTTATCAGGGGTCGCCACAGTGGAATGAACCGCCAACTATTCCAGCATATGTTTTACACAGCAGATGTCCACCTAGCTGCAACCCAGTACTGGGAAACACCCATAGATGCTCGTTCACACACACACACACACACACACACACACACACACACACACATACACGCACGGCCAATTCAGCTTACCCAATTCAACTATAGCGCATGAGTTTGGACTGTGGGGGAAACCGGAGCACCCGGAGGAAACCCACGCCAACACTGGGAGAACATGCAAACTCCATACTGAAATGCCAACTGACCCAGCCAGGACTCGAACCAGCGATCTTCTTGCTTTGAGGTGACAGTGCTAACCACTGAGCCACCATGTTGCCTCTCAACTAAATTAAATGTCACATTTTAACTAATGGCTGGGTCTGTAAAATCTGTCATTTATTAGGGTGTCCAAACTTTTTCACATGCTTATATGTATACAGTAAAGTCAAAGTGCATGTTACAGACCCGCTGCGTAGCTAAAAAGCCACTGAAGTGATGGTGAGGTCAGTCTGTTATGTCACGTTACTAAAATGACAAGCTCCTGAGCACTAAAATTAGTCAGAATGAAAGTGGGCCGCCTCGCGCTCACGTCCCCAAACACACAGGCTGACAGCAGCAGAGAAAATTCTCAGTATATCAGTATATTGGAAGAGCCTCGGGGTTCGGCCTTCAGCACTTTACACTGGCTTTACTTCACCGCTGAAGGGCTTAACCCTTAAAGACCTAGAGGTATTTTGTGGGCACCTAATAGGCCTATATTATTATTTTTTTAAAAGCAGTTTTTATTTTTATTTTAGCAGTCAACCTCAAGTGTCATATATCATTTTAAACAGGAGAACCTGAAGTTTTAATCTGTATCATTTAAAGGTCCAGTCTAAAAAATTTTTTGGTCCAAAAACATATGAACAGACAGAAAATATTCCAGAATTTTCCAGAAACGATTTTTAAAAAAGTGGCATTTTCTAGTTGTTACAAACAAAACCTTATGAAGTTTGTTTTTCTTTCTTTAGAAATACATGCTATGATGTTTTATACTTCCAAAATAAATTTTGTCTACATCCACCATTCCCTGAGCAAGTTATAGCAATTTATTTCAATGTTATTCCAAGGCGTTTTTCAATGGGGGAAAAAATGCATTTATTTACTGACAATGTATTTGCCCAAAAGTTTTGGGAATGAACTAAACAGAAAAAAAAATGTTACAAAATAACAGAACAGTGAAGCAATTTTGACTTTTTCCAAATAATATATTCTCAGTTACTATAAACAACACCACTTACAATGAACAAATAAAAAAATAAGAAAATAATAAATAATGCGTCAAAGTCCAAATAAACATGGTGCAAATCCTCAGTAAAAAAATGGATATAAATATTTACTATACTATAAATAGTTACATAACTAAACTAGATTCAATATGGACCATCCTTAGGTTTTATGTGCCAGCATGGACATGATTGTCTATGGATATGGATATGGCTGTCTGCAATGCAGACAAACAGCCGCACCTTCATTTGCGTCTTTTGAAAACGGCAAAAACAGCAGTTCGTCTTTGCTGTGTCACTGTTTTGTCATGTTTCTGTGCTGCTGTGCATGCAAAAGTACTTAGTATGAGAATTATTTCATGCAAAACTTTTTTTTTGCGTTTTATTTAGCCGCGCGTAAATGTACAGCCTATCTCTCATTCCGTGTTGTTCAAAAAGCTCATTGTTGGTCCAGAAAGCGAAACCTATGCTTATTGGTTGAGAGATTGTGAGTTTGAACCAATCTGGGCATGGAGGAGGGACAATGCATCAATGTTTCATGTCTGGTTTGTCCGGAGACACAGTGACGAGCGTTTCTTTGTCAAATCAGCGTTGTCAAATTTTGATGACGTAACCGCACTGATTCCGGAGCCTCTGAAAGTCCGCGAATGTACTATGTTACAGCGCTGGAAAGCTGAGATTCTCTTCTTTATGCCAATCTTTGAATTGTATGAATCGGATCAGCGGATCAAAAGTTATTAAACATTTAAGAGCAATACTTATTTTTAGCCGCGGGCGGCTGTCTCGGTCTTTAAGGGTTAAGAGGACAGATTCATCCCCAGTGCTCGAGCTTCAGTCTTATGCCGAGTTCAGACTGCATGATGTTCAGAGTAGTCGTGTCACCGATGTGTTCACACTGCATGACTATCTCTGCCAGCGTTTCGTCACTGCTTTGTTTACACGACAGGGACTTTCACATTGCATGACTTTACTATAGGAAGAATCGCCGACAACTTCCTCCAAACTACGTCTCACAGCCAAAAACATGTCGTATATCTTTTGTTATTAACTACATAATGAGAAAGAATCGTTTAATAGGGTAGAACATGTACATGTTTGCTCACCTGGGTTTAAAGGGAATTAGCCATTTCTCCTCAACGTTGATAATAAACTAATTTCTTTCTGTGTGAAACGTCAAACAGACACGGTTGCTCCTGAGTCCTGTCAAACCTTCACTAGTTTTTCCTCC